TCTGTCCAGCAGCCTTCCCCACCCTAGTGCCCTCCACGTGGCTTGGACTTCTCACTTCCCATCAGCCCTGGCCAGGGTGGCCAGTTGGCAGGAATGCTGGGAACTGGAGGCCAGTGCAGCTGGGAGCCACCGGGGCCGGGGCTGTGCCCAACAGGCTTCTCCTGCTGCCCTCCAGCTGCGGGGGCCAGCCCCAGCCCCCCGCGGGGAGCGGGAAGGGGGGGCTAGGGTGGAAGTGGCCCTGCTGGGTTCTTCTGCATTTGTGCACATTTGTTTTTAGCTCACTCCGCTAAGCGAAGGGGTGAAAGGGTAGGGATGCCGAGAGACAGGCGGGAAAGACTGACCACTCCTCCCCTGGCCCTCCCTGCGGAGAAAGGGTCCCTCTGAGTGCTCCTGTGCGCCCAGGCCATGGAGAGCAGCACCCCGCTTCCCCCACCCAAAAGCCAGTGGTGGAGAGCCCCCCACACCCACCTTCCCATGAATTAGCTCCTGGGAAGGGACTGTGATGTTTTGTAAGGCCATAGAATATAGTGCGATTTACTTCTGAGTAGACATGCATTTCAGTGAGTTGTTTCCTGAGCAAGAGGGCAAAGCAGATAATTGGGAAGTCTTGCAAAGAGCCCCCCCGCCCCCGCCCCAGGAAGGCAAGGACAACCCCTGGTGAGCCCATGCACAGTGAATGGGAGGGAGGGGGAAAGTTGAAATCAAGCTGGTCAAGCAAATTCCAGACTGGAAAGAAGGGGCCACATGACAGGGGCTGAAAGGGAGCCATGTCCAGGGTGCAAGCCTGACTCAAGCCATACGGGACTCGCCTGAGTCCAAATCCGAATCCTGTTCACACGCACAATGAGCCACGGATCGCTGTCCGAGGTCCTGAAGGACTGGTCCCCAGCCAGTTCTGACTCTCCGCTGCTGTTTTTTGTTAAAAGACGTGTGTGAGTATGAGAGAAAACGAGCTGGGAGACCCCATCACAGACTTCCTGCACCCTTGTGAAAGAAAATTGTGAAAGAAAAATTGCTTTAAGGAAATCAGGTCCACTGTATCTCATTCCCTCCCCCACCCCCCCGGTCTTTGGTTCCAGCACGACCCGCATTGTGGTCTCTGCTCGTTACAAGCTTCCTTCATATGCTGCTTTCACTCCAGCTTCCCCAGACCATGGGCTGCCCATAACTCCCAATGAACAACCAGGGAGGTGCTCCTCAGGCCCAGCAGAGAGAGTGCCCGGAGCTTCCAGGAAGCCAGATGGCAAACCACTCCATCCCGAGGCAGGTTTTTCCCTTGTTCGTTTTGGTTTATTTGGTCCAATTAGATTAGACAGTAGAAGTTGTTTTGCAGCAGGTGGGGGGACTGAGGATTTCTGCTGCAGATTAACTGCCCCACGGAGTGCCAGTGCAATCCCTTTCATGCCAAGCAACTTGGAGGGATTAGGAGCAGCTGGCCTGCGTCCATTAATCAATTATAATCTGGGTCAGACTCTGCCTCTGAGGTTTTCACAGCCACTGGAAACTACTTCAGGAAAGGCCCCAGGCTCAAATTTGGGCTGAGGAACTTATTTATTTATTTAAAGTTTTTGAATGCCGTGCCCTTGCTATATAGCCTCGGGACGGCTCACAGAAATAAATATAATACAATTAAAACCCAGAAACACCCTGGCTGCACAATTAAAACTATAAATATTAGACATTGTTAAAATATTGTTTGAATAAAAAGGTCTTAGCCTGGCGCCGAAACAAATAACGACGGCTCTGGGGAGCGCATTCCACAGATGGGGCGCCACCACAGAGAAGGCCCTGCTCCAGGTGCTTTGCCTCCTGATGTCTCTCCCGGAGGGCCAAGCCTCTCAGGCTTGTCCTCGTATTGCGTTTCCCAATGCTGGGTTTCCCCATATTGAGTAGCTGCATTCTGAGGGTGGACCCACGAAACTCTGGTGGTGCCCAGGGCGGGGAATCCAAACACACGTGCTCCCCATCAGCTGGCTCTGCCCCGCTCCACCTGCCATCACCCACAGAATGCAACCCTGCTGCTTGGGGATGCAGCTCCCCCACCTCTCGTTCTGATGCTCAATGAATGGGCGTAATTAGTGGCATTTTTAATTTCACTGCAGGTTTTTAGAAGCATGGCTCTATTTTTTTGGAACGTGCATCTTCTCTTCTGGAAAAATGTTCTTGCTTTTGCAAAACATGCAAAGCTCAGGCCAGGAGACTCCACAGACCACAGGCTAGCAAATGGGATCTGAAGACGGCGCGGCCTTCCACACATGATGCCCCAGCAATGTTCACAAAAATGCAAGTGCGGGCAGGGGGCCCCACGAGAGGAACAGCGGGAGCGCTGGAGCAGTGAGTGCCCACCCCCAGGGGACAAGGGAGGGCGAGGGGCTGTGAGGCCGAGCGGTGGGACTGCAGCGGCTCCGAGCGAGCGAGCGGGCGAGCGGGGCAGGCGCTACCGGGGCAGCAGCAGGCGGAGGCGGAAGAGGAGGAGCAGCTCCCTGGGAAGGGGCGGCAGTGTGGCGCGGGCGCACGGGAAGGCGCTGCCCCGTGGAGGCGGAGGACGAGCCTGGAGGGCAGCCTGCTGGGGCAGGGCACGAGCCCCCCACGCCACACTGACCAAGAGGCTCGCGGTCCTGCAGGCATTGGCAGTGAGAGCAAGGAGCTGAGGTGGGGGTCGTCGTGGGAGACTCCCTCTGGCACGGGACGGAAGCGCAGGAGGTCAGGGAACCCGTGCGATCGGTCGCAGGCCGTGCTGCCCCCGTGACGACAGGTGGGGGATGCAGCTCCGATCGCCAAGGCGCCTGGAACCCCCAGGCGGCTGCCGCTTCCTCCCGATGCAGATGACACTGCCAGGAGCAGCCTCGGCGAAGTCACGTCAGACTCTGACGCCGCAGGGAGGGGAGTCAGGAACTTGGGGGCCCAGAGAGTTTTCCAGTTCTTGGAAGAGGAACAGACTGGGAAAGAAAAGGACTTCAGGGGAATGCCTGGCCATGAAGGTGCTGCTGACTTCAGGGGAATGCCTGGCCATGCAGGTGCTGCTGACGTGAAGTCTGGATTCTGGGACCACGGGCTGTGGTTCCTGGAAGACGGGCGGCTGGCAAGGGATGGCCTGCACCTTGCAAGGGCAGGAAAGAAGGTGCTTGGCCACAGCAGGGAGAAGTTTACCAGGAAGGCTTTGAACTGGATCCTGCAGGAGAGGGAGGCTACACCTGGAGGCAACGGCAGGCAAAACAACAGAGGGAGCAGCTTTAACGGTGCCCAGTAAGAGTCTTCCAAAACATCTGGGAAAAAAGCTCGAGTATAAAGTACATGGGCTTCAGTGTCTATATACTAATGCTCAGAGCTTGGAAAACAAACAGCACAAACTTGAACTCTTAATACAGAAGGATGAATTCCTCCAGTGGGATGGCTCCCATGACTGGAATTCAACAACTGAAGGATAGAACCTGTTCAAGAAGGACAGAGAGGGAGGCAGAGTTGCGCTGTCTGTGAAAGAGATGTCTCTTCGGACAGAAATGCAGGGTGGTGCTTTCAGTATCCCCACTGAGATCATACAACTGCGTGTCCTGTAAGCCGGGGGTTGGACCTGAGGGCCCCCTGGCCCCTTCCAGCTCTACTGCTCTGTGATTCTACACTTCTGCCCAAGTCCAGCATGAATCTCCGCCTGACTCCTCTTACTTACTTATTTATTTATTTATTTATTTATTTAGAAAATTTCTATGCTGCCCCATTCACCGAAGCCTTGGGGCAGCTCACAAAGATATCAATTAAAATATAATACAATAAAATATAAAACAAGTTAACAATATAAAATAAAATAAGTCGCCCTGGCCGAAGAATAAAATAAATAAATAGTATTAACAGTTAAAATGACGTTTGAATAAAAAGGTTTTCGCCTGGCACCGAAAAACAAATAACGACGGCGCCAGGCGGACCTCTCTGGGGAGCGCATCCCATAGATTCTTCCTTTTACTGAGCAAGGCACAGCTCTGTGGAGGCCCAGAAGAGCTTTGCTGTGATTTCATGTCTATTTCAAGCGCATGCTGGAACTGGTGGCCATCCCTTTTGTTTAGCCTGGTGGGAACAATGGTCACAGATTGCAAGCAAGAGCTGGGAAAACAAAGTCAGATGGATTGCCTAATGACCAGCTGGGGCTGGAAAGGCTTGCAATCCCATCCGCTGGCCTCGAACCCTGCCTGCGCCTCTGCAGAGCATCCCCACAGATGCAGAGGAGAAAAATGCCTTGCCCCCGCCAGCCTCCCGGGCACACACTGCCTCTGCCTGCCCTCTCCCCCCGCTCCTGAATCATTAAGTGGGGGGCAGGAGGAAAAGTCGCACGAGGTCTCACCTCAGACACAGGGGCTTCGGGGCTCCTGGGGAGCGGCCGCAATCCAGGACCAGCCCAAGTTCAGCGTTTACTTACTCCCTGGCCTCAGGACGCTACACTTTGCTGCAGAGGCGGCAGGGGAAGACCCTGAAGGACAGCCTGGGCCCTGGCAGTTCTCTCTGCCTGGTGGCTTGCTGCCTGCCAAGGCAAGAGGCACCTGCAGCAGGGCACCTGTGTGGCGCAGGGGGCGAGAACCGGGGCAGTCCCAGTTCTGGTCCCCAGCCCAGTCAGGGCTGGGAATGGCAAGACGGCGCCTGGGGAGCGGGAAGGGGTTCCGCGGAGATGAAGTCTGGGCTGACCTGAAGCCCAAGCCCTTCCAGGTCAGTCACGAAGCCAACGGATGGCTTGGGCAACAGGGCCAGGAGCAACTGACACCCGAGGGACATTCCAAATGACCCTTCAGGGGCTAACCACCGGAGCCCGAAAGCCAGCTCAGCACCTCTCTGTGTCCGGATCCAGCCTTGGCACAGCAGGCCCTCATTCCTTGGGACTGAGGGATGTTCTTAAGGGAAACCTCCCTGATCATGCTGCTGCTTGTCCCAAATGCGCAATCCCACAGGTTCATGCCAGCACTGAACCACTCCTCCCATGTCCCTGCAGGTCCCCCGTTTCTAGGGAAATGCATTACCTGATATTTTCTATGAGGAGCTGGTGGGAGTCCTCGGTAAGGATGGTGGGAAGGGCACGAGCCAAGCAGTCAGCCTTCCTTTCAGCGGCGTACTGCTTCAGGACTGTGAACATCCTCCCTTTTACATCTGGCCGGTCGCCCAGGATCTCTTGCACCTGCAGGAGAAACAGCCAGATAGGGAGTAAGAGCTTCCTGCCTGCCTCATTCTGACCGACCAAACGCCACGGGTCCATGGCCCGCCTCCAGCCCATTTTTTGCAAACTCGTCCTACCAATTCAATGAACTTCCATATGTCACCGAATTATTACCATTTTCCCAGTTCTCAGCATCTGTGGGCACATCGTGAGCGGAGCCGGCTGGTGCCGGAGGTCAGACTAGATGGCCCGGGAGGCCCCTTCCGGCTCGCTCTGTTTCTGTGTGGGATTCACTGCTGCGCAACCTTGCAAGTGCCTGGCGAACTTTCCTTTTGCAAAATAGAAACTTTTCAGGAGGTGGCCAACTCCCTAATGCCACCATGACTGAGTTCCATGTTATGCATCTTTGCTCTCCTTCTTTCTAACGTCTTGAGGCACGGGCATACCTCTAGTGCTCCCCAGCAGAGGGCAGCAGAGAGCCCCAAAATCCAGCTGCATTCTGTGGAACATGGCACTCCACAAGATGTGACTTGTTCAGCGAGAAAAGCACAATGCCAGCTCTTTTTTCCTTCTAAAATGTGAAACATATAATCAGCTCCGTATCAACACGTCTCATCTTCCATGGCAGACGCTGCTGCTTTGGCATGGCTGCCAGAGCCTCAGCTGGCCTGGGGATGTCATGGGCACCCCCAGAACGTACCAGCAGGCAGCCTCCGCTGTGCGCAGGCAGGGCCAGGGTGCGGAGGACCGGGGGCTCTTCCCCGCGTGGCCAGGCAGCGCTTCCCTGCCCGCAGGCTCACTTCACTGCTGTCCAGCAGGCCTGGCAGCCATCCGGCATCCTTTCAGGCTCCCCGCAGAGCAGCATCACTGGCCAGGAAAGCTTTTTGAAGGGAAAAATTGCAACTTGGATGCAGTTGAAATCCTGATTCGTAAGACTCACTCAGCTACAACTCTGTCAATTAATTTTTAAGGCTTGGCTGCAGCTCAAGGCTACGTGAAGTAATTCTTAACCCTTGGGAGCAGAGCAGGGCCTGTGAATCACTCTGTCAGGACACGGTTGCTTATTCAGATCATTTTCCTTCAATCTGCCCTTTCATTTTTTCTCTTTTTAAAATAGGAGCCATCTGGTTCCTGACTCCCAGCTGAGCAGAGCGGAGGAAGCTGCTCTGGCTAGTCTAGGTCACTGGGGTAAAAGCAGCCGAGCTCCCAGGGAGCCCACGCAGGAGTCTGGTTCGGCGGGGGAGGTCAAGGGGGAGGTCCCTACCAGATGCACCACTGTTAGATGGGGAACATGTGGCTCAGCAATACTGCAAGGAGTTGTGGATCACAAGCTACGTGTGAGCCCAGAAAGTGATGCAGCTGCAAAAAGGGCACATGCTATTTTGGGCTGCATTCATAGAAGCATCGTTTCCAAAACACGTAAAGTACTAGCTCCACTATACACAGCACTAGCCCGGCCTTCCCTGGAGCCTGTGATCAGTTGTGTGCATCGAAATGCTAAAAAGATGCAGACAAGCTAGAAAGGGTCCAGAGGAGGGCAGCGAGGATGATTCCAGGACCGGAGGCAAAGCCCTGCAAGGCAAGACTGCGAGACTGAACTGGGCACGTTCAGCCTCAGGAAGGGAAGACTGAGGGGGGATATGACAGCACTCCACAAGTACCTGAAAGGCTGTCACAGAAGGGAAGGACAAGGTATCTTCTTGTCCATTCCAGAGTGCAGGACACGGACAAATGGACTTAAGTTAAAAGAAACCAGATTTAGACCAGACACCAGGAAGCGTTTCCTCCCTGCCAGAGCAGCCTGACAATGGGACCGATAACCTGGGGAAGCTGTGGGCTCTCCCTCGCTGGAGACTTTCAGAAGGCATCTGGACTGCCACCTCATGGGAAGGTGTGACTTCGTGTCCTGCCTCAGCAGGGGGTTGGGCCCGACGGCCTTCTGGCCCCTTCTGACCCTACTCTTCCAGGATTCTGATCCCTTAAAACCACTTTTTTAAATTCTAAACAAATTTCAGACCGCTTTTGAACATTTTCCTCTGTATCTATATATCAGTATGGAAAGAGGCTTAATTTTCGTTTTATTTTTCGTGAAGTCCTATCTCACGAAAGCACTAGAATCCTTTGAGTGTCAATAAGCATGTAGACGGGCAATTCAGTAGGCACTGTTTACCCGGACTTCCAAAAGGCTTCTGACACAGACCCTCACCAAAGGCTCCCGAGCAAACTCAGCAGTCGTGGAATAAAAGGGGGAGGGGTCCTTCTACAGACCACAACCTGGTTGAAGGGTAGGACTCAGGGGGATGGGAATCCACAGCAACTTCTCCCAGTGGAGTCCCGTCACCAGTGGAGTCCCACCGGGTCCGTATCGGGAGCAGCACTTCCCCACCTGTTCGTAAATGATCTGCAACTAGAAGCAGTGAGGTGGGCCGCGTTTGCTGACGACACTAAACTTTTAGGGTGGTTGAAATCAAAAGGGACTGAGGTGCTCCAAAGGGATTTCTCCAAGCTGGGAGAAAGGGCACCAAAATGGCAAATGCCATTCAGTGCAAGCAGGCATAACACAACGCATGTCGGGGGAAAAGTCCCAACGTTAAGTACGTGCTGGTAGGGTCCAAAGTGCCCAAGCAGGAGGGGGGGTGGACCACTCGATGGCAGTGTTGTCCCAGTGTCCAGCGGCTGTGAAGAAGGCAAACTCCACACTGGGAATCATTAGGAACAGAATAGAAACCGGAATTGCCAAGATCTTTCTTCCCTTAGACAAATCTTTGCTGCAATTGAACTTGGGATATGGTGTTCAGTTCTGGTTGTTTCACCTGAAAAAGTGCGTTACTCGGTTCAGAAAAATACAGAGAGAGGCAACGAAAGTGATGAGGGGGCTGGAGCAGCTTCTCCGTGCGTGGCTACGACAACTGGGACTGTGCAGCTTAGCAAGAAGGCGAGGAAGGTGAGGCGTGAGGGAGGTGCTGAAAATAACGTGTGGTGAGGAGAAAGGGGCAGGGAGAGATTCCTCTCCCTCTCCCATCACGCCTGGACCCAAAGGGGTCACCCAGGAAGCTGAGTGGTGGGAGGCCTGGGACAGACGGAGGAATCCCTTCGTCACACAACACATAGTTAAATGATGGACTTCTCTGGTGCGGGAAGTGGTGATGGCCGCCAGTCCGGACGGACGGATTCTTGAGGGAGGGGCTGCCGGGGCTGCTCGCCTCGCTGGCCGTGGGCTCCCTCCTGCAGCAGAGGCGGGTGGCGCGCCTGCAGACCCCCGTGGCGGGGGTGCTGCACCCCTCCTGCTGGAGGGAGCCGTGGGCAGCTGGCTTGCCACCGTGTGTGCTGGACCGGAAGGGCCTTTGGCCTGATCCGGCAGGGCTTTCCTTATGCCCTTACGAGAGCAGCAAGGTCTTCCCTGCCTGGAAACTTGCAGCGACGCCAGAAAGGTGGCGGAACTGGAATGAGGCATGCGGCATGCTAATGCGCGGAGAGCGGGAGCGGCTCCCGGCCCCCCGGTGCCCGTCCCACTTGGAAGCTCTCCGCCGTCGAGTATCGCAGGCTTTTTGACCTATATCCTGGTGCTTCCTGGGACATGGAGTCTTCAAAGCGCCGCCACAGGATTGGGACGGAAGTCCTCCTGACGCACACAGCCTTTCAAGGTCATCTCATCTGGGGCAGTGACAGGGACTCCGGCTCCAGCACACCCCCCCCCCCACAGATCGGGAGGAAGGGCTTTGAGGCAGAGCGGGCTCCCTCCCGAGGGGTGCGCTCCGGCACTGTGTCGCGAGAGCCAGGAAGGCTTCGGTCGCCTGCACACATGCGGCTGCCGTTCAAGATGCCCTTTCAAGGGACCTGGTCTCCGGGAAGTGACTGCTCTGTTCCCACACCAACTGCCAGTGCGGGCAAGTGCAGGAGGCGCTGGCAAAGCTGGCCTGACCAGACCAGAATCAGGCCTTGTGTCCGCTTCCATGACATTATAGCAGCCGGACGTCAATGCTAAAGGCACCCCAAACTCGGCAAGGAACACCACGCTGCTGCGCCTCACCAGAGGTTTGCTGGGGCTGGAGGCAAGGATGGGGTGGGGGCACTGCCCGGGTGTGTGGAGGGGCTCTCTGGTGGTGGGGCTGCGGTCGACAGACGCTCAGGAACGGAGGCAGGGCACCCCTTGCTTTGTCTGTGTATGTGGGTGTCCCCTTGTCCCAGCAGAGCTCTCTCTGGGCAGCCCTGAATGGCACCGGTGCTTTGAGCATCCTGGTTGGAGGAGTAACTCTGAAGATGATCAAAGCAAGAGGGAAGATGCTAGGAAACAACCAGACACCTGCGCCAGCCCTGCACCAGACAGGAAAAGAGGGCCAGTCTGTCAGTGACACCTTCAAAACCAGCAGACACCTGAGACCTGGCACAGGTGCAAAGGGGGGGCGCAGCCACAGGCACCTCTCTGCGATTTGCTTTCCAAGGTGCATCAGGTAATGCCAATCACACGCAATGCGAATGCCTGCCGGAAGCAGCAGCGCCATTCCTCGTCCGCGGGCAGCAGGCTTCCAAATCAGCCCGTCGCCTCCTGGTGTGCCCAGGGGGAAGCCCGGGGACAGACAGGCAGAGGGGCAATCACTGCATCTGCTTCCCCTGAGGAATGGAGGGGACAGGCCCCTGCCCAGGAACCCCAAGCGGGCTTCGCTCAGACTGGGTCAGTACAACGCAGCCAGGTCCGACCGCAGTGGGAGGGCTGCTTCAAACGAAGGGCTGTTCCAGCCAGGGGAGAACTGGATCTCCTGGCCAGTACAGAACAAAATGGAGCCTTCTGGAGGAGCTTGTTTGGCAGAATGCAAGACCGTGACCGTTTCAGGAGCCACTGAAGTTGGCGTGAGGATAGGAGCAGGAGCAGGTTCGGCGCAGGAACAGGCCACCCATTGGTACATCCAGAGCTGCACAGAGGGCAGATGGTGAACTTGGAGCAGTGTACCCATGGACTGCCATTCCTTGGAACGCCGTGGTGCCCCACAGCTGCCCTGAGAATGGAGTCCGCCTGTCCAGGTGCCACTGTTCCTGGTGATGCCAATGCTCCAAGTTGTGGGTGAGCGGGAATGCCTCCCTGAGCCCTTTGCACGGACAGCAGACGCTCCTTGCTTCTTTCCCGCTGGGCGTCCGAAGGAGATGTTCTCCCCAGACAGCAGTGCGACCGAGTGTGGTGCTAGAGAGCGGCCTGCCAGACTCCCACAAGCCGCCTTCCCCAGCCTGGTGGCCTTCAGAGGCACTTGGATTCCTGCCCAGCAGGGCCACAGACTGGCAATTTTGGGTAGTGTAATCCACACGTGTCTGGAAGGCACAAGGTGGGGGAGGGCCATCCTAGAGAATAACAGCCTAGAAACCAGGAAAGCTTATGCTCTGCATAACGACATCCCTCACAAAGGCAGTTTTAATGCTGATGAGTAGATGACCAAAGCTCTCTGGGTGGTTTACAACAACACATAAAATATAATAGAAAGTGCAATAAAACACCATAAAACCCCTAAGCACCAAATTCAAGAACCAGATTTTAAAAGATATAATAGCTTATACAAATTAAATTATGCCCTGTTCAAGTAGCTGGCATAAGCCAATATAATATTGATCTGCGAGGATCAGGAGTACTCTTCCTGGTTATACGGCCAGGATCTGCACTCATGTCCTGCCTCCAGCTCCCCACAGGCACCTGGTTTGCCACTGCGGGAAGAGAATCCTGGGCTAGATGGGCGTTGGGCACAAGTCTTTGAAAGGGCACCCAATCACAGACTGCAACACATAAACTCACACAGCTCCAAATGTGAGTCCCCACAGCTTCCGAGGCCCACAGCTTCCTCCCTCAGCTTCTGTACTGGTGGAACTACTATCTTCTGCACCCAAAGCCAGGAGGCCCCTGAGAAATTCCACCAGGGCTTCCCTAATCTTCACCCCGCCATCAACCCAGGTCATGACAGGCCCGCGCAACAGGTTCACGTTCTGGAGATCACCATGCAAATACAATGGAATGAATGCAATTTTGGATTGCAAGCCTGTGAGCACAGACAGTGCTGTTATTGCTCTCTGGAAGCCTCTCAGTGAGCCCTCAGATAAATAAAATCATTCTAATATTTTACAGATTGATTGACTGAGTTTTCTATTCATAGCACGGCAAGCTAAAATCTGTGCTGGATAAAACTAGGGCGAAAGGGTTTATTTTAGAACTATCTTATCCACTTTTAATTATAGACTAATCCCAAAGCAAGCAGGGTGCAAGCAATGAAGCACAGTAGAATAATGCAACATTGATGAGAGAACATCACTAGACAGAGGAGAACAGTAGCAATGAGGCATCCACACAATGCAGCAAAAGACAGCGAAACATCCAGGTGAAAGCTCAGGTAGACAAACAGCTCATCAGCTGCTGCGGAAAGCTGGCCAGATTTGGTGCCACCTGAACAGGACGGGTGACGGAGCTCTGCAGTCCTGCCTGGAGGGTGGCTTCCCCTGGGCTGCCACGCACTGTGTTGCCGTCACGAGTGAGTCACCGTCCGCCTTAACAGCAAGGCCTTAACGGCTGCAGGCTGCACCACCTCCTGCGGGTTACCTGGCGGGGCATCTGTCCACTCACCCTCCTGCCCTGGCTCAGCTCCCAGATCGGTCCCAGGCCCACCCCTTTCCCTTCCAGAATGAACAACCCAGCCGTCCGCTGCCTGCTTCATACCCTCGTCTCCTCCTGCGCACCTCCTGGAGCTCATCCTATCAGCAGCAGCACCACTTCTTCCCTCCTTCCCTCCAGCTTGGCCGGGGGAAGAGTATGCAGAGGGGTTCAAGAGCCAAGAGAGGCTGGGCGGCTGGGGCACCACGCGCCTCGTGGGGCTGCTGCATCATTAGCCTGTCGCTGCAAAACCCGTGAGGAGCCTCAAAAGAGGCTGGACGTGGCGGTGCCGGGATACGCTTTCGTCAGCGGCACGGAAGTGCCCCTCCACCGGCGGGAGTGCGCAGGCGCGGGGCGAAGGGAGCGATGCCCCTGGCGGGCCGTGGCCCCCGCGGTCCAGCCCCGGGGATTGCCGCCGCTTGCAACGATGCACTCAGAAGATCCTCCTGCAAGCCTCGCCTGGGTTGTGAATGCAGGAGGGCGTCCCGGGAAGCCCCCTCGGCCGCTGCAGGCCGCTTGCAGCAGAGGGACGGCCTCGACGCTAGCAGGAGTTCCCACCCGCCAGGGGGGTCGTTCAGGCTGCAGCTGCACCGTGCACAGAGCCCTCTGGATTCGCCAGGATGGCCAAGGCCAGAATTTTGCGACGGACTGAAAGCGCTTTGGAGTCGCGCAGTCCTGAGAGGGCAAAGGGTGGGGCGGCCGCGGCACGCGCACGGCGGCCGTCCAGACATTGCCGGGAGCCTTGCCAGCGGGACGGGTGCGCCGGAGCGCTCCCACTCGCCCCCGTGGGCGTGCGGGGACCCGCAGGGGGTGCACAGCTGGTGCCATCGCGACCTCACCCTCCAGCATCTGTCTCATCTCTGTGCTCCCGCTGGAGGAACCCTCCTCCTCTGAGCACCGGGGCTCCCCAAGAGACACTGAGCTAGCCCAGGTAGGCCAGCCGGGGGGCAGGCCCCCAAGGGCCACAGGGCCACGCCTGTGCCTCCCAGAGAAGAGGGGCTGCTGCCTCAGGCGGAGGCTGGGCGAACACCCAGCCTCCGGGAGCACTGCGCCCGTGGGGCTCCTTTGCAAAGGGGGCTCCACGACACGGGGGCTCCCCAGGGTCCAGCCCTCTCCTGAGCAGGCCTCCTGCCTGCCAGAATCCCGCAAGGCTCCACCCAGAGGCCTGGGCACGCTGTGCGCTCCACCTCCGGCTGCGAGCCTTCAGCTTCAGCCAGGCCAGGCGGGAGCGACCTGTGCTCCAGACCTCGCCTTGGGACCGGCGCTCGGGTGCTGACCCTCACCGGGCTCCGTTTCTGGATGGGAGACTGCAGCGGGCTGCCCTTCGCCCCTCTGTCCTGACCTCTCCCGCCTTTGCCTCGCCCCAGGCTGGCCCTGAACGTTGCGCTGTACTGCCTTGCCTCTGGGAGCACCCATAAATTATGCTGCAGCCCCTCGGACACAGCCACAACACAGCCCTAATCGGTTAAAGCCGCTTCAGCCTGGAGCCACTGCCACATTTTTAGCAGGAATGTCCACAAATTAATTATGCTTGTGTGAAGTATTTCCACTGATCTGTCCTGAAATTTCTGCTCCTCAGTTTTGTGGGCTAAACCCCCAGGTCTGACATTACGCAAGAGGCAGGAAAGGCTCTCCGTTTCTCTGCTTGGCTGAGGAAGGCAGCACAAAAATAGACCTGCATCCCGTTTGCAGCAGGATGAATTAACTAGATAAAAATTAAAATTCCAGGTTAGCCATGTCTTTAACAATTTAAAAAGAATTGATTTTATACGTTTAAAAAAGGTGAGTTAAAAGTTAAAGAAAAATCTGGCTCATACAGTTTATGTTTCTCCATTGAGACTCTCAGCTTTCTTGTTTAAGAGAGTTTGACATGGTTCACACGGCACAACAACCCATTCACTGCAGCTGACAAGCCACGGTGTGTTGATGTGTTGTGTGGATACTCAGACCTGTGCCGGTCCGAATGGCCAGCCTGGCCTTGAGCGATCTCTGTTGCCAGAGTGCCACAGTGGGCATTGAACCAGAATGTCTGCAGAAGAGCTTTCTTTTTCAATTTGCTTTTTCCAGACAGCTGTCAAAAGGCCAGCTGTTCAGAGAAATGAAAACCACTAGTGATTTTTTGCTTGTGAAAGGAAACGACCAGTAGATTACCCTCCTTCTGGCCACCCTCCATAGTTTGGGCTGGGGACATTTCTCCAAATTTTCCACCTTTTCACATTACTCTAGGTGTTAAGAAAAGTAATGCCACCCTGGGAGTTTTTTAAAAGGTTCATTTTTCAGGTTACCTGTAGAAACCCAAGTGGGCATGAACACATATTAGGGATGGGTCAGAGAAGGAATACCTTCCGAAGGACCAAGTGAAAAGGAAGGAGGGGACAACTCACGGTGAGCCAACCCTGACTGCATAGCTTATCTGTGGGAACGTTGGCACACTGACCTCGGCAGAAAGTCATGCTCATCCTGTGAGCGATTTCCGGTTCAGTACAAGTCTCAGAGTTACTTAATTTGAGCTGGCATTTTCTGCACATGTGCAGAAGTCAGCAAGGGAGCCGGTGGCAATGGGAAAGGGAGCGAGCGCAACACACAGGGGCACTGATGTGGCGAGGCCCCCCAGGCAGAGAAGCTCTTCTTAGCTGGCCATTTACAGAGGGGGGCAACCACATTAGCCCACTGCAGAAGGACAGCAGGGTCTCCTGGCATCTCGAAGTCTAACGGACAGTGTTCATGTTCATGAGCCCATCAGGGCCAGTTGCCGGCGGGACTGGGCGATAAAACAAACATCCTTCACACTTCTGGGTATCTTTAGAGCAGCACTAAGTTTCCTGTGAAAAAACCATCACTAATTGTTAAGATTTCAACTAGTAAATTATTAAAATTCTTGCTGTATAGAAAGAAATGCATGCTTTCTCAAAATGAACGTTGCAGCTCCTGGTTGTATGATACAAAACTGGCTTATGGATCCAACCCCAAAGAAAACCCGCCTGCAAAATGTCCTCCACCAACCAAGGAGGGCTTGGGGCCGCAGTGCCAGCCTCTGTCACTTTTGGACTCAGACCCAGACTGGCCCTGCCCTGCCCTGCCCTGCCCCCCGCACACCGAGGGCAATCCCAAGGCTTACCTTCTGGCTGAACTCCTGAGCCTTTTGCCGCCTCTCTTGGTGGATCGCATCAGCGCTCTGGACAAATTCCCGCACGCTGCTGTTGGCCCAGCGAGGGGGCCGTCCAAGCCGCAGCAGCCCCAGCTGGAGACCTCGTCCCTGGCAGGACTGGATCATGGCAGCCGCCTCCTGGTAGAGCTTCACGGGGGTCCTGTTGATTTCCAGGATGTAGTCCCCAGCTCGGACCCCACATTCGAAGGCAGGCGAGGCGGGCGTCACACTCTCCACCTGCAGGGGGCAGCCTCCGTCGCACATCAGATGGAAGCCAAAGCGCCCCTCGTCTCCGGGCGTAAGGTCCACCTGCTGGATGCGGGAGACCACGCCGATGCTGGGGGGCACATTCTGACACTGCCTTGCAAGGGCAACCAGAGCCTCACAGTTCATGGAGGAGACGTGCAGCCCTTCTACTTCCAGGATCTGGTCCCCTGGTTGGAGGCCCGCCAGCTCCGCACTGCTGTGTTCTTCCACCGCCAAGATGTAGCAGGGGCCGTTCCCACTGATTTTAAAGCCGAATTCCTCAGGCCACCTGTCGTTCGTGGCAGGCATGGCAGTGACTGGGAAACAGAGACACAGGGAGAGCAGCTGCTGAGCCTGGCCCACCTATCCAGGCTCCGCCCCAGTTGCACCTGAGCGTGATCCACACAGGTGCAGAATGGCCAACCAATCTCTTTTTTTGCAGTTATTCACTTCTTTGCGAACAAAACTGAAACAGTAATTTATCAAATAGGAAAAATTGCAATATTACAAGAATACAGTGTGAAGACGTTTTTTAATCTGGTCCTGTCTAAGCACAGCTGCTTTCACATTGTATGTTATCCAAGCTTCACTCTTGATTTGGAGACCATAATTTGTAATCTGGAAGTGTTCACTGTCTGTGTCCTACATATTTTTGTACAATATCCCCAATTTCTCATACTATTGTGTAGGCCTTTAATATTCTTTTTAAATACCAAAGGAAGACTGTGGAGATTTTCCATGGGGAATGCCTCTTTTGTAAATTCCAGGGAAATAAATGGGAGCAGCCAAGAGGACAGCCATTCACTTGGGCAGAGCCAGCTCCCAGTTCTAAAAAGCCTGGTGTTTTTAACATGCTATTGTGAACCGCCCAGAGAGCTTCAGGTGTGGGGTGGTACAGAAATTAAATAATTGAAGAAATTCCACCTATTGATTCAGAAGGATCCCCCAGAGCGGCTTCAAAGTCAAAGAACAGATAATTACACTGAGACTGCATCTAGTCTCTCCAACGCACACCAAGGGCGCGCCTCAGGCTCCGGCTGTGGGCTCCCCACAGGCATCCAGCCGTGTGAGCGGCCCCGTGCGGACGTTTGCCACTGCGTTCTCCCCCACCGCAGAGGGGAGGGCAGGGCACAGGCGGCCACGGAGACCAAAATGACGGGCAAAAGATTCCTCATAGGGACACTTGGGGAGAGACGGCGGAGGCAGGCAGGGTGCAAGTGTTCTGCCCGTGGAAGGGCTCAGCATCTCTAGCATGTGGCATCTCCAGGTAGGTGTGAGAAGGGCCCCTGTCTACGCCCCCCGGAAGCCACTGCTGGTTGTCCGTGCCGGACAAAAGGGGCCCTGTGCCCTGGCTTGGCAGGAGGCAGCTTCCCGGGTACTGAAGAACAGACCTTTCCCCACATATACGCACATGCACACACTTACGCGCGCACACACATATGTACACACCACTCTTCTCAGCAATTGGGTTTAGGAAAAACTTACAGAAATTGCTGGCCATCAGAGTCTACCTGAGGTCTTACAAGGGTCCCAGTCATTTGCCTGCAGTTTCTTGGCTCTCTTCGGCTTGCACTCCCTCAGGCAACTTTCTCCTTGAAGTCTCACTTGCCCCAGAAAGGAGAGGATCTTGTGCATGCACCGATCCCGTAGGCGCATAATGCTGAACTCGCTAGCGTCTTGTGCGCAGGAGGGCCCCCCACACAGCAGGCCTTGCACTCCCACTTGGCTATTCCGGGGTCCCCTTCCTGCCCTCTCAAAGACTTTGGTGAGCAGCAACATGAGCCAGGCCTTCGCTTCTGCTCCTTCTCCTTCTCCTTCCCCTTCCCCTCCTGCTTCTCCGGAAGGCGGAGAGAGAGTTGCGGGTAGTGGGGGAGGCTGGTGGGCCCCTTCAAGAACCAGCCATGTCTGAGTCTTGCCTGGAATCCAGGGCTGGAGACCTCTCCGAGGAATTAGAATATGTCAAGCACTAGATTGGATTAGAGGCCAGTCAGGGTACCGGGTCATCAAATTAAAGCAGACACTAATGAAGCAGCAGCAGAAAAGGACCGGGCTAGACAGACTGCAAGATGTTGCTTCAGGAGGAAATGCCTCCCCACCCCAAGACCAGCGGCAAAAGGTGCAACATAAAACAATATATGTTTATGCTAAAAAAAGGATGGGTTTGAGAACCCTAATTTGAAACTTGATGGTCTTACAAGCTAGAATGGAAATTTATGCTTAATTAAAAGGTTACATATCCTACATGGAAACATATAGGACATTCACACAGTGTGCGTAGGTATGTGTTCTGTTTTTGTTTTGGTAGAAAGTGGCAGGCACAGCAGAGAAATGGAAACAAAACAGTCTTATGAAGGAAGGAGCGGTAAGAGGCAGCCTGTCTGAATTAACTGTTTTGTATAGGACAACTGCTATATTAGAGTTTATTTGCCTTTCTTGACCAATCTTTGGATCTCCAGACTTAGCAGGGCAACCTGAGGGAAATGATGCTTCTCCTGCAGCTGGAGAAGAAGAGGAAAGTATCTGCCATTCCTTTACGTACATGCGAAAAAGGCGAGCTGGTCCAAAACATTTTGCAGTCCACCAGATGGCAACTGCACACCTCCTGTTAATTAACACAGAATCTGTTCAGTAGGAGAGCTCTTCTGCACTTGCCCAGGGAAATAAACAGGAGCTGCTCAAGAAAGAGTTTCTGATGGAAACCAGGCAGGTGGCCTGCTGTGGTATTTTGCATTTACTGCAGGTCCGGCCAGTCTAGAAGTTTGGCGAACTCCGGGGTCCCCCTGCCTGCCTCAAGGGAGCCCCAAGACTCAGAGGCTCACACAGAGCTGGGCTGCTCAGTGGCTGGAGTTTTGCTGTCCGGCTAGAAGGCTTCCACTGTTAGCTGCAGGGCTACTCACTGGTAGTCTGACTCAGTATAAAGCAACTTTATATATTCATAGGCACACCCAACTATTTGTTCATGGGGCTATTACTGCAACAGGCAGGGCCACCCCACTCCCTTTCTCCCTGGGGATATGCTTCAGTGGCTGATGGCTTGGAATTATATAATATGAATTGTCAGAGTATGTTTTTAAACATATCCTTCTTCCTTCCTCAAAGATGTTGACAGCAATCTCTGATGGTTTTTTCTAGCATTTACTCCTTTTTACAGTATGCCCCAGAAGGAAATGTAAGAAGTGTTCCCTGCTTTGTGTATTAGTAATATACACAAATGCATTTCAAGCAAAGCTTACCTCTCTTTCCCAGGGCCTAAGCAGCACCAGCAGCAGAATGAAGACTGTTGCCCAACTGAACCATCAGAGTGGCTCCTGCGCTTCTGGATCAGTTACAGATCTGTGGGGCAACTGCCGGAGTTTCTATGGCAAATTCTATCCAGGACGGTAACCTAATAGGGCACTCATTAGCAGGCCAATCTTACCGGGGAAAGGACTGCATGGCACTAGAGGCAAATGAAGGGGACAGACAGCAGTGTTGTAGTGACACAAGCAACTGGAAAACTCTGTTTTAAGCAGCTTACAGATGGCGGGGTGGGGGGATGCCAAATCCAGTGGTGAAATTGGGTTATTTGCAAATAGAGGGAGAAGTGCCCGCTACAGATTTGGCCTTCCCTGACTTGGACCCCACCACTATGGCTGGAAGGAAATATAAACACAGTGCCCAAAGATTGCCCTTGGTGGAAGCCTGCCCTGTCTTTTGCATTATTGGAGAACTGTCAGCAGGAACGAGGAGCAGCACAGAGACAAGGGCTGTTATATTGAACAGCTGTAGCCCAAGTTCCCTGGCCCTGGATGTAGCATAGATCTCTGTGACAAAGTGACAGAGGAGTTCCCCTAATGGCTCCTCTTGTCCTCTCTCCTGAGCCTCCTCCCTGGATGGGGAGGGCACTGCGTGACTGGGATGAGGCTGCAGCAACTCAGGTTTCCCGTAGAGGAACAGTGTTATCATTGTTCTGATAGAGCAATTCAGTTCCTGGGAAGCTCACCCTGTCAGTAAAACCATTCCAAAAGTTCCAAAACATGCATTCACAGGTTTTTATTAGGCCAAATAGTTTCTTTTAAAGGTGCAAACCTCATCATTAGGAAAGATTTCCCAAAAGGCACTTCCCTACCCTTGGACTCTGAACATGCAGACACAGCAGCTTCCCCATCAAGCAGCTTCCCCATCAGCTTCCACAGCAGCTTCCCCGAGGGACGGACGGCGCCATTGCGGGACCGGGAGCCAGGATGCTGCGGGCCCTGCTCCTGCCCGCCCCCTGCATGGGTGAGAGTGCGCTGGTCCAGGGTGGGGCGCGGGGGTGGGGCTGCGGCCTTAAACTCGCCCGCAGCAACCGGGGCCGGTGGCCTCGGGCTGGCAGCCGAAGGGCATCGGCCTAAGGACGGTGATGCCGTTTGGGACCATTCGGGGCTGTGTGGGGGCTGGTCTGGTCAGGGTCTCTGTAGTTGGCTGGCAGGTGGGGCTGGTTATATTGGGCTGCGGGGATTGTAGGGGTGTTTTCAAGTGTTTTTAGTTTGTTTTAATGGATTCATCTCCGGCTTTGAGTATGGGGTTGCCTGGGGAGCATGTGGGCGCCGCCATTGGGGTGGTTACAGGCAATGGACATTATGGCATTGGGGGTTTAACGAGTCCGCGTAGAAGGAGGAGGGACAGATGGTTAACACCTGTTCCTCTTTCTGGTTATTCTCCCAGCCGGAGGATTTCAGGTAGACTTGTCAACCGCCCCCCGGGCCTGTCGGTGCTGTTGCTTAATGCCAGGTCTGTTCAAAATAAATCACCACTCATCCACGAGGGGGACGACCTGGCTTGCATTACAGAGACCTGGGTGGGAGAGGGAGGGGATGTCTCGCTCAACTGTGCCCACCCGGGTACCTAGTCCAGCACCGACCACGCCTGGAGGGGGGGGTCACTTTGGTTTCCCGAGCCTCCATTTCCCTCACGGGGCTTCCTGTTCTCTCGAGGCCGGGGCTGGAGTGCTTCTACTTGGTGTAGGGCAACCAAGACAGATTAGGGATTCTGTTGATGTACCGTGCACCCTTCTGCCCAACAGACTCCCTGCCTGAGCTGACGGAGATCGTCTTGAACTTGGTGTTGAAGATTCCCAGGATGCTGGTCCTGGGGGACTTCAATCTCCATGCCGAGACTGTTCTGTCCGGGGCGGCCCAGGACTTCATGGCCTCCATGATGGCCATGGGGCTGTCTCAACATGTCACTGGCCAGACCCATGAACGTGGACACACGCTGGACCTGGTTTTCTCGACAGGACAGGAAGAGGGGGATTTGAGGGTGAGGAACTTGTGTCTGACACCCTTGTC